GGAGAAGAGGAGGGGAAGGGGGTGGAGAGAAGGGGGGAGGGGAGGAGGACGAGCAGCGGGGTACCCTGTGAGTTGCAGACTCGCTCATCACTGCATGGAGCTAGTCTGGGCGCTCCTCGGCCAGAGGAGTTGAAGGAAGCCCTGACCCAGGACCCCCTCCCAGAACAAAGATAATGCCCAGCTCCAGCCCTACCACCTGGGTCCCGGAAGGCGACGGGGGAAGAACCCAGGATGCGCGCATGCGTGTGCGAGAGAGAGAGAGAGAGAGAGAGAGAGAGAGAGAGAGAGAGAGAGAGAGACAGGCGAGGGCGCGTACTCTTCACGCGCCAGAGCGTCCCGAAGATCCTGGTGTCGAACAGCGGAGCCACCGCCGTGATGATGACGGCAGCCAGCGCTGACTTGGGGATGTAGCAGAACAGCGAGGTCAGGTAGTCCAGCGACAGCAGCACCAGAACTCCTGCGGGGAAACGGGGCACCCGTGACCTCCGGCCGCGCCCCCGCACGCGCTCCGGGCACAATGGGGGGTGCTCACCTGTCACCAGGCCCCCCGCTGGGGTGCACACCCCTGACTGGGCGTTCACAGCCGTCCTGCAAGGCGACAGACACCGTTAGTGGCTGTGGGAGCCTGGAAGCGCAGGAGAGGCGGGTGTCCCGGGACAGGAGCGCCGGCGAGGGGACATCGGGGCCCGCGGACACTGGCACGTAAGGGGGAGACGCTGAGGAGCACCCTGACCTCAGACTTCCAGCCTCCAGCGGGGGAGGAAATAAATGTCCCCAGCCCGAGTCACGGCAGTTCGAGCAAACGCATCCACTCCCCGCTGCCATTAGAAAGGATGACCCTTCTGTTCACGGACGAGGAGAGACGCGGTGACACCTTTGAAGGGGGCGACATCCCGCTTACGACCCTGGCATCTCCCACACGCAGACGCACACGCACATACACGCGTGCGCTCGCTAACGCAGAGAAACACCAGATGCTGACTGCGAGCTCCTGCCAGAGCAAACCTGGAAGTGAACTTGGCTGTTCTGCCTTTTCAACTTCCCTTTTTCCTTTTGTCTGTTTGGAAAACTGCATTCAGACCCGCATCTCTGCCGAAGAACTGGTCCTGGGCCCACGTTTCCCTCTGCCACCGTGAAGACCACAGAGGAACGGCCACCGCTTCCGCGACAGTGAAGATTCTGCCTCGCACGCGCTCCCCACCACCCTGGCCGTGACCTGTGCCCGCCGGCACGTCCTCTGGAAATACGTCCGTCCGTCTGTACACGCCCACAGAAAGCCTAAGTCTCCCTTCGCTGCTGTACAGTTAGGCAGGAATCTCCTTCCTTAAAGACGCACCATCAGACACGAGGTGCCATGCCAGACCTGGGGCACAGACCCAGTGAGCCTGACGCACTGCTCGTCCAGCAGAAACAGCTGAGAAGTTACATCAAGGAAACCGAGCTTTTATTCCACGAGCGGCCCCTGGCACTGCTGTGCGCACCCTCCGTGTAACCTCCAATAACTCAGACGAGGGCCCCGCTGTGACTCCTATTTACAGGGGGAACACAGAGTATGCCCTGGAGCCCCTCGGATGCCGTGCTGTGGGGGTGTCGGGGAGGTCTGGTACTCAGACAGGGTGGGGCCAGCGGTTCCGGGTACTTGGGCCCCGCTGGCTGATGCCCCCTTGCCTCTTCTCAGCCCCAGGTCACCCTCTGTCCTGCCCCCTGCCTTGCGAGGCTGTGCGTGACCCACCCCCCTCTTCTCCAGGCAGAGTGCGGAGCTTCCTGCCCCCACTTCCTTTGGGAATGCACTCTGCCACGAGATGCAGGAACACTGCCACATGCTGGGAACATTTTAGGAATACGGCTCAGGGCTATCAGAGAAAACCACATGAGATCATGGTGAAGGACAGCAGAGCAAGCCCCACTCCTGCCTCCCACGGACACCGCTGATCTAGGGATCTCTTCTGCCCCAGCTGCCGGCATGGGCAGACTTCTGCCCCAGAGAAGAACGAAGTGGCATCGAGACGTGGCCAAGGACCGGGCAGGCTCTTTGAGGTGGACGCGGACCGTCTGGCCTGGGCTGGGACTCCCCCCTGCCCCCTGGGGCACAGGGAAGGAAGGACATGGTCACTCACCGTCCAAAGCTGCCTGTGACCGGGTAGGAAGAGACGAGGGAGCCCAGCACGTTGGTCAGGCCTGGGGAGAAAGCGGAAGGAAGGGGTTTATCCAGGAGGGAGAGGGGTTTAAAACAGATGGGGGGTGGCAGGGGAAGGGAGGCCAGAAACCAGAAAGGAAACAGAAGATAGAAGGCCAGAGGAATCACCCAGGAGGGTCCTATGTCTATGTCCGTGTGTCTGCCTCCAAGAAGGAAGAACAAACCATGATCTCTGCCAAGTTCACCGACCCTCACTGTAACATAACTCTGGCCCCGGCCCTGCCCCGGTGAGCTCAATACACCTTTTCCCACGTGTAACAGGGAGAGGAACCCACCTCCCCAGGAGGGACCAAGGACACTTAAGACTGCCTGGCAGCCAGCTGCCCACCCGCTGTACCCCACGAGTTCCTTCAGACCCACACTTCTCTCGTGAGAGGACCAGCTGGGACAGGAGGTCATGGCTAGTAAGTGTCCACCCCGTTACACTGACCCACCCACACCTGACAGAACCCTGCCAGCATCTGGCTTACCCTGGCACCTTCACAAACACCACAGTGGGGTCACAGGTCCAAGACCGGCTCGAGATAGCTCAGGGTGGGGCCCGCTCAGAGCCAGGCCCTCTCGAGTCCCACAGCCCAGCACATTCCGCGAGAGCAGGACAGACATCGGTGGACGTGGCAAAGGCCATGCATGGACCACACGTGGTCACCCTGACTCCTTACGATGGCCCCTCGAGACTCAGCTCAGGGCCCTACTGCTTGAGGAGCGGGGATGTGTGGATCCCTCCCCGTACGGTGTTCTGTAGGGTCGATGGAGGCCTCTTGCTATGTGGCTGCTGGAGAGCTGCCTGGCCTCTCTTACACCCCGGGTCAGCAGCCCCTGGGGTCCACGTGCCCACCTTAAGAACCTCAGCTTTGTGACTGCTCCTTGCCCATCGCTGCCGAGAAGCAGAGGAGTCCTATGCTATCTGCGGAAATGGAACGGAGAGGCTCCCAGGACTCCTACCCGGAACTGCTACTACTGAGTGTGGGGAAGGTCAGTCTACAGACTTCCTCTGCCTGGGAGCGAGCCAGTCCCGGCTAACTCCACCTCACCAGCCACCCAGGTGATGCCCGCCACCACGGGCTCAGAGAGGAGCCCCCCCAAAGCTCCTGTGACCCATCCTGGGGCCCCACGCCCTCTGCCGTTGGGAAAGCCAGTGGCTCGCGTCCAAACAGCTGCCGCAAGGTGAAGTGGTAACGGGGGAGGTTCCCATGGACTCCGCTGGGAAGGCACCCGGGGCTGCTGCCCGCTCCGACCCGTGCCCACCTCACCAGGGGCAGGAAGCAAAGACAGACAGGCCTGGTGTCCACAAAATTAAAAACGGTCATGACAACTGAATTTAAGATTCATGTCACGTCCTCAGAACAAATCACCAGAGAGGTCAGACAAAACAAAACTGGGACGCCGGGCACAGATCCGTCCACAGTGGGCCCTCCCCGAGTCCTCACGGAGCCACCTGCCGGCCTGGAGGGAGGCCCTGGGGCGGGGGGCCAGGGCAGTCAAGGTCCCACTCGACCAGCAGGTCCTGCCTGGCCACGTTCCTCAGCAATCTGACCCCAGGTGGGACATTCCGGCGTTCCTTGACACAGCACAAGGCTACGGACCTCGGGGTCGGGGACACAGCCAGCGCTCAACAAGCTTCGGTCGGCACGGGCACCACACCTCAGCGGCCTGCTCCTAGGGTTACACTGAACTGTCCGGAGGCGTAAGGATGAATCCACACAAGGCTTTCAAAGGGCCCAACTCGGGGCCACCTCTGCTCCCTGAAGCTCGCCGCGACCATCCCTACGACCTGCGCAGCTCAGGCAAGCCGCAGAGAAGCATTCTCGACCTCAGAGAGCCGCCGCGGGGGGCTTACCAATGGCCAGCAGCTCCTGGTTGGCATCGATGCGGTAATTATTTTGAGAAGCTAAAGAGAAAGGACAATGAAAACACGGTCACTGGATATATGAAACCACTAAGAAAACATTCATGAACCGAAAACACAGATCATAAACCTCTACCCACAGCACCGTCTCCTTGTCGTAAATACGGCACGTGAACACGTATAAGACACGTGTGCGTACGCGAGCATACACATCTGTGTCGCTGTGTCACACAAAAAGCAGACAGACGCAGAGCAACACGTGAACCGTAGGTAAGCGGGGTAGTGGTGGACGTCGCAAGCGGTTCGCTCCTTTCCACGTTTCGGCACTTTGGACGTTTCCTACCACAAACACACGCTGCTTCCGTAAGAAGCGGAGAAAGTCTGAAACTAAACCCTGACTACAAGTGCCGAGGACCAGAGGTCCCAGCTGGGGCCGTGCAGACAGAGGGGCCGGCAAGCTTGCAGCGGGGACACAGGGCGGGTGAACGTTTCTGGGAAGGGCTGGCTGGGAACACTGCAGGCGCTGCGGGCCACGGCCTGTCGCGACGACTCGGTGCCTGTCGTAGCTGGAAGTGGCCGTGGGGACCTGAAAACACATGAGCAAGACCGTGTTCCAGGAACACCTCTTCATATAAACACTGTGATGCAAATTCCACACGCTTTTCGTGTGTCACAAAATCCTCATCTTTGGAAATTTTTTCAAACGTTTAAAAACGTAAAAGCCAGGCGCCTGGGTGGCTCAGTTGGTTAAGCGACTGCCTTCGGCTCAGGTCATGATCCTGGAGTCCCGGGATCGAGCCCCGCATCGGGCTCCCTGCTC